GAGAGATTGGTAGCATTTGGATAGATTCTGTGGTGGTAATTAAACATTTTAGGAACTAGAATGAAACGCAAAAATTGGCAAAACTCAGTAGTGTGATTTTACAAGAGATAAATCAAAATAAAAATTCATTTAAGTGAAATGCTACAAGTCTCATGTGGTGTATTTTAACTTTGAATACTTTCCAGCATGAATTTCCAGTTTTTTATATTGGAAGAAATTGTTTTCATTATTGTTATCAAAGCAGATTTCAGAGTTGCTTTATATGTGGTTTACATGTTGTTTTAAAGTTGGTAGAATTTGTTTTCTAAGATCTTTCCAAAGGAAAATGTCTTACATTTGTGTAATGTTTTCTTAGAAACACACTGGATTTTTTTTTTTAAAAGGTAAGCAGCATTTCCTAAAGTCACTGAATGTGAAAGTGCAGTTGAAGTAAATATTTTTAATTTTGTGTATCACCAATAAGTAAAAACTAAAAATGGTGTTTTACAATTTATGGATGGAGGCACTGATTATTGTAGAATATTGGGTTTTTGTGCAGCAAAAGAGGCAGTGAATCTGTCAGCCCATTGTAGTCTGATGAGTTTTCTTCAGCAGTTTCAGAGAAAACAATTGTAGTAAGAGTGCACAGAAACAAGCAAACTTGGTGGCTAATTTGAATCCTTATGCTATTTTTTTAGGCTTTCTGGTTTAAAAACAAAAACAAAGTAAGCAAGGCAAGCAATATCATCTGATAAAAATAATATTATTCAGAAGGTGCATATGTCAAAAGGCCACTGTTTCAAAGATTGAAAAATAAATAAAATTTAAAAATTTGAGTATAAGGGAAAATTTTAAGAACATTTTGCAAGTTACCAGTACCTCTATTCACAAAAACATCTGTCCTGCCCTCTCTTCCAGTTAAAGTTGTCATGAAAGTGAGATGAAACTGAAAGTGAATTGGATATAAGAAATTCAGTGGGGATAGTTAAGAATTTGTTAGCAATTACTGCAAGTTTAATAAGTAAAATTTAAAAAGCAAGTAATACATCTGTGGCCATTGTCTAGATTCAAACCATACACAACTAAAGTGAATGGAAGCTTATCATTGATTTAAAGAGTAAATTATATGGTTTATAGAGATGGGTTTAATGAACTCATTTGGAGCAAAAGTGATCTTAAAAATGGCATGAGTTCCTGGCTAAATTTGGAGAAAAAAAGAGAAAAAATAGGAATATATTGCTGTTATTTCTGTGCAGTGTTTGGGTGAAGAGGAGAGCTGATAAAATAATTTCAGTTGCAAAAGAAACTAGGGAGAATGTTTTAAATGTTACTGGATGTGTAGGACAGTGCTGTTGGAGGTTTTTATTTTATAATGTAAACCATGGGTGTACAACAGTATTTTTCACATTCAAACATTGGTAAAGCTAAAAAGGACTGGATTTAGCGATTTTTTTAAATTTTTTTTTAAATTTTTTTTTTTTTTTTTTATTCCTGGAAAAGGAGGGAAAAGGTGTATAGTTGCTGATAAAATTTTAGTTGCCCTAGGATAATATAGTAGGTGAGATGAATAGGAAGTATATAGTTTCTAGTGCAAACTTTATGGCTTAGATGGAGTAAATGGAAAAAGATGTATTTTAAGGTAGTCTGAAACACCACACATCCTTCTAAATGCTTGCTTCTCATATGGGCTTCTATGTCCAGTTTGGATGGGTATCTTTAGAATGTTTCATTATCCCTGCATACAAAGAAGGCAGTTATCATTCAATAGGAAACAGCAGAAAAAAGCATTCAACTTTGTTCGTGGCAATAGGTCCTTTATTCTGTTAGGACTCTGAGCTCTGTGTTCAGCCTGAGTAGTTGTCTAAAAGAGAAGTAAATGTCATCAGTGGATCGAGAAGGTGTTTTCGCACTGTGTTCCATAGTCAGGAACACTCTCAGCTGCATAAAACATTACAGGTAAAACTGTTTATAGGTTAGTAGCTCATTCTCTCGAGGAGATCTATCACACGATGGCTGTAGGTGTCCTTACTTCTTCTGTGCTTATGCTTTTTAGAAATGGTGGTTAGTCTCTTAATGTTTCAGAAAATGGTTCTTGTTTGCTTTATTTCTGTTTTCCTCAGATTGTCTGGTTCTTATATGGCAAAATGGAATTTTCTTGACCTCCTTTAACTATGGAAGTTTCGTGGAGGAGTCTACAGACCTTGTAGAGTTCTTATAAGGTGGAGATTGCACAGCACCTTTAGGCAGCTGGTTCTTAACAGCGTTTGTTATGGAAAAGCATCTTCCTTACTCTTCCTAAAGGAAACTCTCCTTGACACTTCCAGGTCAACTGGGTGTTGCTCTCTGACAATTCTGTATTTCTTCACCAGTTGAACTTTTGACAAAAGAGTATTTAAGAATTTATGTAGAAGATATCTTGAATCAAAGTGGAATCTCTTGCTGAAGTTAGGCTTTTTTGGTGTAGGCATTTGAGGCTGGTAACATAAGGGTGCTGCAGCCTCTGGTTAAATTATTGTTGGACGTTATTGTGATTTTATATTATTGTGATTTATTATATTATTGTGATTTTCCAACAAGGCCAGATTATCTGGGATCTGGAGGTGCCAGATAAAAATCAGTGGAAAGTGTCCCTTGTCCTCAATTCCATGGATGCTTATTAGCCCATGTTCAAAAAATGATTTAGTGCTGTGGTGCTTCATTTGTTTCATTATATAGATACACTGGTTTTGGTCTCATGAAAGTTAAAAACCTGCTACTGGCCACAGTTGTGTTGGATGTGTACTTTCTATTTGTAAATAAGAATATATTGTAGTGTTTTGATTTATTTTTCTGTAGTAGATTAGTAAAAATTCTTTACATACCTAAATTTCAGTTCGCTTAGTAAGTGATTTCCCCCCCACCCCAATGTCTCTGGTATGTTTTGTATATTTATTTTGTAATTTCCCATTATATGTAAGTGTATGAATGATGTTTCTATTTGAGTTAATTTTTTGAGAGACGATTTAAAGATGAATATTCACCATTAACACCATGTTAACATTTTTTTGTCTTTAGTAAGATGATTCTAGCTTAAGGCAGTTTGCAATTCTTAGAAAAGCCCTTATAAGCACTCTTTCCCTGAAGATATTTCAAGTAGACAAGCAAACAAAAAATGTTCACTTTTACTGGTTTTTATAGTTTTCTTTTTCTCAGTCTGTCTGTTAATGATAATTTTAAAACGGTCTGTTGGAACAGGTTTTAAAAGCAGCTCAAGTTGACAGTTTATACTTTTTTTACCCTACACTTTTATTAGTCTCATGCCTTTTCTGTACAGAATAATTCTACAGACTATTTGTGAATAAAATCCTGGAGCAGTACAGATACTGTATTCAGTTGCAGTTGAAATACTAGAATGATATGGGTAGTACTGACTGTGGATGTTGACGGTATCTGTTGTGTGTGTGTGTGTGTGTGTACAATCTTTGTTTTCCATAGAAATTGTAACTACCAATTTAGTAAATGGAGAGGGGGGCACCAGATCTGTTGGCAGAAAATGGAAAAGATTTAAGAAAAGTATATGAAATTGCATATGTGCTTTTTATGCTAAATACCATTCCAGAGTCTCAACAATACTACTGTGAGCAAGCATAGCTTTGTGTTTAGCTCAGTTTAAGAGTCAGAGTACAGTTTGGTAAAGAAATTAGGAACTTTTAGATTTTGTAGAGTGATTGAAAAGAGAAAATCCGAGATGAAAGCTCAGAAAGGTCTGCAGTGAGACAGTATATGGTGGGTTTTGTGTTTAATTTTTTAACGTTTATTTTTGGGATGATGATGATGATTATTATTATTATTATATTGTTGTTGTTGTTTTTATTGATGCATTCCTTTGCACAATGATAATTTACTTTGCTTGCCTAATCTAATAATCTTCTAGATGATCTAATTATGTAAATCTGTCATTTTATGTCCTTAATATTTGCATACAAGTAATCCTGGGTAGGAGGAAAGCAGAATTATTTTTAAAGTATACTGAGGGTCTTGTGACAATAGACTTCAGTTTTACTCTTGGGGTAGAACAGAATTCGCAGCACGTGAGTAGCTGCACCAAATTCACTTTTAGATGAGATGATAATACTTCTAATAATTCTGTTATTAATGTGAGCAGTGTGTTGCTTTAGCTATGTAGTGGCTTCTGCTAAATTTACAGTTATGGCACAGGGTCCTCCACTGGAACAAACCATCAGCTCTCAGGATCTCTGTGTTGAAAAAAGGCTTCAAATTAATAGGTTTGTTTCTGACTTGGTGTTTTCCCCCACCTCCATCTGACCAAATGTCAGACAATTGACAATGTTGGCTTTCTCAGAATGTTGTTAAAGCACAGTACGGTAAGTAACTAACCATTTACTGATGACCCCCAAGTTAATGAATTAGAATAGGACTCGATATAGGTATTTGTAATCCTATGATAAAATAAGTTGGCCACAACTTTATAAATAGAAAAATAAGAGATTTCATAGAGGAGATGTGATGGTGTGCATATGTGTCGCAATTTCTTTCTGCAGAAAGAAACAGGAGTCTATTCAAATCAGAATGACATTTTGAAAATAAAAATTATACACAAAAGTCTTCTATGATTCTATGCTTGTAAGAATACCAGTTTGCTCAGATACTGCTTCCTTTTTGCAGGACTTTATGTAGCTTTCACGCAATGACTGTATTAACCCAAGAAATAAAAAAAAAAATTGTTTCTATCTTTGTGTGTCACGGTATAAATCATTAGTATTTGAATTTCATGGAGTATTACTCATATAAATTCTCCCTGACTGCATTAAAAAATGTATTACTGATCATCTAAACTTTGGATAACAAAAATGAAATGTAAACATGACTTAAGTGTAATTTATGTCCTTAATATTCTAAACAGTTAAAATAGTCTGTGGAAAAAAAAGTGTTGTAAAAGGTTCTTTTTACTATAATTGTACTACACTGAAATGTCTTTTAAGCTTCTAGAAAACATTAAATACAACTATAACTTTTTGTAGGTTGGGCTCATGTGGTTTGTGCTCTGTACATTCCCGAGGTGCAGTTTGCAAATGTTTCTACAATGGAGCCTATCGTGTTGCAGTCTGTTCCTCATGATCGTTATAATAAGGTATAATTATATGTCTTTTTATATCTAATGCATTTGTTTTAAAACTTGTGAGCTTTAGTAATATAAAACGGTACTTCTTAGAATGCACTTTATATAAAATTCCTAAGTGTGTGCAGCAATGCTCTAAGTTTTCTGCAATGTAAATTTACTTTTACTGTAAATTGAAGAATTAGGAAATCTGTATTATTAAATTAGGCTGTAAGGTTATCTGCCATTCTTATTAGTCTTTTACAGATTGGGGACTGTTACGTTAATTAAAAATATCATGGTCTTTGAAAAACAGTTTATTTTGAAAGGAATCTCAGATATTCTTCATAGCTTAATATACTATTGCAGATTATCTGAGATGTTATTATTAATTACCACAAAGTCCTAGTGTTTTAAGTGTTGATATTGACATAAACATGTTCATAAACATTTCTTTTAGGACAGAAAGGTATGCTAATATATTATGGCAAATGCTTGCAGACTTTTGCCTTTGTAAACAACATTCACCTTAGTGGGATTATTTGCTTGTAGCAGAACTCCTCCTAAATAATTGTCAGTGAGATGGAATGTTTTATAAAGTGTGGTGAGACTTAAAAAAAACCCCAAACAAACCCTAACAAAAAAAAGGCAGAACAATAAATCAGTAGCTTGCTAGTGTTCTTTATTGATAGTTACATTTTTCTTACTTCACTTGTGTTGCTTTCTCCTCACTTAACTACATTGGTCTTTGTATGTTCCCTTCTGCAGATGCAAGCTGTCTGAATTTCTGATTTAGTTGTGTTACATGTTTTTCTTGTGTTGTTATTTTAACCTATAGTTTATTTATTTATTTATTTATTTGTTTTTTACTTTATGTTAGTTTGTGGACACTGCAGTAAAGTAGGAATAGACTGTGTTATAAAAAAGAGAAAGAAGAAAAAGGTATATGTCACCTCCTGTGTTCTTCCTAGAGGGAGACCAGTCCCTGTTCATGTTGCCTCTGTGACTTCTCACACCCACCACATTCCAAATCCAAGTTTCCATCTTAGATTTATGAGCTGCCCCTCCATTTTCCTAGCCTTTTTCCTTTTTTCTTTCTTTGGTCTTTTCCTTTTCTGTTTCATTTTCTCCAGTTGCTGTCAATAAGTTTTGTCCATCTTATTTACCAGTGTAGCTGAAAAATCAGGAGTCTGTGTCCAGGTTTTCCTCAAGCTTTCTCATTATTACCTGAGCATCTCTATTGGCATCTCACTATTTGCTTCCCTCTGCATTGGCAAGAACATGCAACAGTGAGATTCAGTACAGAACTAATTAAACATTTCTGCTTGGACACAAAGCAGTAAAGATTTGCTATAACAGATGAGTTTATTTCCTCTCTCTCCTCAACTCTGAGGGAACAGAACATCTGTTTTCTTTTTCCTTGAGTAGTAGTCAGTCATAATTTTTTTTTTTTTTAATTGGCAGTGGTTCTCCCTTAATGTACTTCATTAATTCCTTTTCATTGTAACTGAAGTTTCTTCTTTCTCAAACAGTTTTTGTTCTAAATATATGGCATACAGTTGTGTTTTGCTGCTAAAATTCCAGTTTCCATTTTTGTTGTTCTGTATTTACTATGCTTTTTTCTTACTAAATAGTTACTAGCACCATACAGTTAATGTATTGAAAGTCCCTGATGTTGTCTAGCTCTTAATTGTCTGTGCTCTGGCCAGATGTTCTGATTGAGGCCTATTTTCCATGTTACCAGGCAGCCTAAAACTACTTTCATCAGGCCACTACAGTTTATTGTGAGGTACATTTCTGACTGGTGTCAGAAATGGCAAAATTTGGGATCACACCCCTAGCTTGATTATTATTATTATTATTGTTTTTGTTCTCTGTTTTTACAGAACTCAGAGTTCACTGTCATTATTTGGGCTTTGTGGGTCAGGGAGATAGCAGCTGTGGATTTCAGGGGAATCTGAGAAATGGCTATACTGCAGTTGCTGCAGCTAACCTTCTGAAACCATTCTAACTGCCATGCCAGCTGCAGTCTAGTTGTAACAGTACTGGATTTAAGAAGTATTGGCTGACAGGGAACTCTCAACTCTTGCTAAGTTTGTAGCTGGTGGTGAATTTAGTACTGCTGTGGTTAAACTGCCATGGGCTCCCAAGCAGGCTATTCTTGAGCAATACCCCCCAAAACCAATAAAACTATTACTTCCCTTTTCATGTAGCCTGCAATAGTTTCACCTTCTACTCCTGTTGCTATTCAAGATAAATTGTGTTTATGTAAATTATATTTTCTTTTAGGTCAGAAATTTTGTAAAGCATTTCACTCTGACTTCATTAATTTGTGTAAAAACGGGAAAGAAAAGTTTTTTTGAGAAGTAGATATGACAAACAATTCTTGAAATGTTTGTTGCGCACTGAGAACAAATGTAAACATGTAATTAGGAAAAAATGACTGGAATTGTTTATTTTTTTTTAGAGAGGCTAATAATAATTTCATTCTGTTTGTCAGCTCAGGTTGGAATAGGAGATTTAAAGTAAGATATTATTTCCTGTGAAGTTCTAAATAATTCTCTATGTGTGGCTGGATACATATAGAGCACTAGCATATGGAACTGGGGGAAAGTAGAGGCCAAAGAAAATTACGATGAGGGAGAAATTATACTGTAAAGTAAATATTGTTGAAGTTTTGCCAGGACATAGTACTTAATTTATTTGGGCTTTTTTCCCTATGCACTTGTTTCTTTACTAAACACTGCAAAATATGCAGTATTACCAAATATAGTAGTCTTAAATGCAAGAAGAAACGCTGTAGATACCAAAGCATGGGGTGTGTTCATATAGAGACATTTAGCTGCTATTTCCCTGAAGTTTGCCTACTTTGGGGATAAAAACCATCACATTACACAATGAATCCACTGAATGATTTGATTAATGAGTTAGCTATCAGGAAAGCTCTTCTTACACAGTTGCTTCCAATAAAGAAATTGAATATTAGCTGCTCTTCTTTTCAGAAATAGGTGTTTCTTATTCCTTGGATGGTTATGCATGGATAATATCTTTTTATTTTATGTCAGCTTTATTTGTCTCTTTCAGGTTCATTTGAAACTATGTGATAATTGTCTATAATTACTGCTTTTAGGAATCTCTTTTAAGAACCGATTAAAAGATAAGTGCATTTGGAGTTTCTTGATTTGCCTAGTAGCGAATGCAGCTGGCAGATTTCTCTTTCAGTACTCTTGCTGCAACAATGAGAAATTTCTGTACAATTCCTAGGTTTGATTTTGTGATCAGTGAATGCCATTGGGTATCTATTATGAGTAAACTATTTCTGAAATTATTTTAGCCTTATAATTATTTTTTTGCCTCATCTTCCCTTCTGTCTTTGCTTTTGCAAAGAAGGTTTACACATTGAATCTTTGAAGGGAAAATACTGAAAGTAACAAAGACAGCTGTGCAAAATATGTATTTTGCCTTTAAAGGAAGTAGTGTATTTGTTACACTTTTGCGTAAAATTTCCTTGCTGGGTTAAAAGCTTTTGCTTCTTCTCTAGTGAATTTGGGAGAGTACTCTCTTAGCTTAAGAGCTTTGAAAGAGTGCAGTTATAGGTGGTGGGACAGTTTTAAACTTCTACGTTTCAGAGGCTTCAGAGGTGTAGCTTCTGTATAGATTTGCAAATACATGCAAGTCATCCTTTGTGAAAGAAAGACAAAGGTTCTCAGGCTTCTGGAATTGTGTATCTAAGAGAAGGAACAAATATGAGAAGCTCAGCTGTAGAGAACTTAGTGTCTGTTGGAGCAGGAGGGTGAACCTTCTTTGTCCCTATTTCATGTGGAATACTAGCAAACAGGTTTAATGCTTCTCATGACTATTGCAGGAAAGTTCTTTGAGCTTCTTGAAATGAGTAGTCAGTCTGCCGTGTTATGTTTAAACTTGTTCATAATGTAGTTTGTAGTCATTTTTCAGTCTTTGTACTGTAATTTGCTCTAAGGTCCCAAAACAGAGACTCTGCATATAGGGTAAATACTGAAAAATGGAGTCTACATCTCTACTAAGTGGAATGCTTGTATTGCTTTTCTTTCTGAGCTTCAGTGAGGAAAAAAACTTAAAGAAATTGAAACAAAACTCTGAAAAATCCAGAAAGTAACTGGAGATTGAGTTTTATGGGGTTTGTTGAACTCTCTGTTTATAGAAGTATCTTACTTTGAAGTTACTTACGCTTAATACAGTGACTCAGATGGGGTTGATAGATCATGACCTTGTTCATTCCTAAAATCTTGTTCATACCAGCTTATTGTATGGAAATGTAAAAAGCAGCCAGTCTCAGATGCTGTCAAACAACTCAATTATCAGTGTTCACCACCTTGATGTATGAAAGAAACAAGGCCAAGAATTAAGTGGGATTATCCCCTTTCTGATCTTTTAAATGTTAGGCTATAGGGTATGATTTTAGGATATATTAGCTTTTTAAAGTAGTGTGGAAACTGTACAAGAATAACACTCCTACCTTCAAGTCTTGCATATTACCAAAAAATGCTGTAGTTAGCTGACATCACCTGTTAAATGTTGTTCTAAAAACCTCTGTAAAAGGCTGTTTCAATCTCAGAATTTCACTCATTTTCCTGTGTAAGTAATACTGGTTTTGCATTACATATTTTTTTTTAAAAATTTCAGTGGACTTTTGGTCTATTTTTTTCTACCTTGTTTTCTGCTACCCATGGTTGATGTTATTTTTATTATTCTACTCATTCTCTGCCTCATTGAAAGGAAGTTGTAACACAATTGTAAGTCAGTTAAAATAGAGACAGTTCTTTTTTTTTTGGCATAAAGAAGTTTCTCTTGTTAAGGACCTTATAATGGGATTTCTGCGGAGGTAGGAGTGTTCTTAATGTTTAATATTCAGTAAGGTTCTCTAAAATAAAACTTAAACACTTAATCCACCTCAGTGCTGGATGATACTTTAAGAATCTCTTAAATTGTTAAATTTTACACAGAAATGTAATATGATGTAGAATCTCTCTAAAAATTAGGACAGGAAAAAGTGAAAGAGATTTACTTTTGCCGTATGTTTCTCCCTGGAATGCTGGTGAGAGATTGTAGTGATGCCTAGTATAGTAATGTATACATACATTATGTGTCCATATTTATTTGCCACATGTTAAAAATAAGTATTGAATAATTAGGAAGAATTTGGATACTTTTTGTCTTAATTTCTTTCTTCTGTTCTACTAAGAATGTTTCAGAAAAGATTAAAATTGCCGTGGAATCCCAGTAAAAGAAATAAATGGACAAAAATGCTATTAAAATAGTCCCAGGTGTGAAATAGCTTATTTTCATTTTAGCTTGTTTTAGCTTTAGTTTTGGAGGTTGAAATGGGTTTGATATATTCATTTAAGCTTTTTTACAGAAGGTTCTTTGTTGATTAATTTACAAGATGTTTATGGGGCTGTCCTAGTCATACTGAAGTAGTCATCCAAACAAAGCAGGGTTCTGTTAAAAACCAGTTTAATTAAAAGTAGCTGAGCATCATATGAGTACTGAAACATGCTATGGCACTTTGGGAAATTCTTTGCACCAAATGCACAAATAAAATTTTAAGTTTGCAGGTTTTTTGTATGTAATTGTGTAGATACATATGTATACCATATGGCGTATTGTACCTTTAGTCTAATCTGATGTTTCTGAATGTTATGAATACAGGTTATGTTAAATTAATATGACAATGATTGAGACTTTAAAGGACATAAACACAAACTTGAAAGCAAGGACAGTTGGGAAGCCTAATGCTGTCAACCCGTAGCTGTTTAACCTTTTGGCTGGTGGACAGTGGTATGAAATGTAAGCAAATCACTATTTGTGCTGCCTTAATGTTGGTAAAGTGTTACACAAATCCCAAGAGTCTACCTGGGTGATCTCATTTTGCTAACAAGCATGATTAGACTTTCATAAAGAACTTCTTACTCTGGCTTAGCTGCAAAATGCAGTAGTTCTCAGCCTAGAATCTCCTGTAACACAGAATTTATTTGTATGCTTCTTATCAAATTTAGTATTTTCTCTTTGTTAGACATGCTATATTTGTGATGAACAAGGCAGAGAAAGTAAAGCAGCCACTGGTGCTTGTATGACATGTAATAAACATGGATGTCGACAAGCTTTTCACGTAACATGGTAAGTATATTTTACTATTTAATGTTGTTGATGTTGCTCTGATATTCCAGAAAGAATTAATACACACAGTGTAATGAATAAACTCATTACTTAGTACATCTTTGAGTAAAGAAATACAGTAAAATGGTTTGTTTTTTAATAGTGTTTACTAACAATATGGCAGTGGCAGCATAGATTTTGCTGTGAGCTGCAAAAAGTGTCTGGTAATACTCCCTTGGGTAGTATTAAATGGTGTGTGCTCCTGTGAATAAGTATAGAGGAGTTTATTTTTTTTTCTTGGTCTTAGATTATTTTTCTTAGAGGATGTTTAATAGGATATGGGAGTGTAAAAACATTGTTAGTGTTGCCTGCTAACTGATTTTGATGTTTACTTCTGCTAAGTCAATGGGAAAATTACTGAGCTGTATGTAGAAATGGACTAGACTCACCTATTCCGGTACGGATTTCCAAACATTTGGGAGTAACTCACTTCACTGGTTTTATCTAAATGATACAAATCATCCTGAACTATTTGGACTTTATGAAGTTCAAATAGTTTTTGCTGCTGGAGAACAAAAAGCTATGTCCTCCACCATATGATTCATTTTGCTTTAAGATACTTGGATCTCCTTGCATTCAGGAGATGCTTATTTCACTTTATGGCTTTCTAAAAAAGGCTGGATAATTAGATTAAACCATATATCAACAGGTAAAAGGAAGTAGAAAGAGTTCCACTCCAAAATTTGCAGGCATTATTTGTTTTTTTCAATTTCAGCTGGAGTTATTTTACAGTAGCAGGCAAATTTATATAGGCTGTGTAGCTACATAATCTGTGGATTCACCTGTCTCCTTTATGACTGCCCCAGTATGCTGCTCCATGACCAGTTTAGTCAGGGAAATGGTATTTGCACATCAACTTTAATCACTTAAATGTATTTTCTTCAGTGTACCCTAGTGATAGTTCGTATGTCTTGTGGAGGTATCTTGAAGGGTTTAATTCCATTGTTTTGGTACTGATAATCTTGGCAACTCTTAATTTATTTTTTTTTTTAATTGCTTGACTGCTTTGCAGGTTTTCATATGCAAAATATGAATATTTCATATTCTTTCATATGCATCCATTTTTTCATTGGATGTGATCAATGTCAAGTTTCTTTTTATGGGGAAAATGAATTGTGTTCCTCAAAGTGTGCATACCATGTAAAGGGATTACTTACAGATGTGAAAAAATGTATACATCCAAGTGCTTGTATGAAAAGGTCTCTTTACTTTCAAACACTTGGATACATACAAGAGTCCTTTTCATCTTTTTGCTTTATTCCAAAACCCTGCTTTCAGTGAATGCTGTGAAGAGCATGAGATATAAGTTCAAAATCAAAACAGCTATCTTGCCACTTTTTAAAATTTTTTTGGTTCAAAAACATGTTCTATACTACTAAATGATATCTAGTGGGAGAGTAATATCACTGGAGATAATTAGAGGCTTCTGTAATATTTTTTAAAAATGGAAGGAAAATGGGAAAACTACCAGAAATTCAGGGCAAGGTGTAACAGATGATTTGGGTTATCAGAACTATTGTCTAATGAAAAATGAGCTTGAGTGCATATTTTTTGTAAGAGAAGCTTAGAAACAATAAATCTTTGCTTAAAGACATCCTCTTAATTATTTTTTCTAGTTGGTATCAGCTGTAGATGTATATGTATTTAGTACTTCTGGGTTTTCCAAATATTTTAAAAATATATTTTAACATATTTAAATATTTAACATATTTGAAATATCCAGCGTATTTAAATTTAAATTATTTAATTGAATATTTTATATATTATTATATATAATAATATATAACATTATAACAATGTGGTATATTAATATTATATTTAGACAAAATTTATATTTTTATTATTTAATATTTAAATATTTCACATATTTTTAAAAATCTGTGAAAATGAACCACATTATATGGTGATATACTTTCATTTAAATACTCCTGTGTATAATTTTTACTGTAGCATAGCATTGTTATGGTGTCTTGGTTTGAAAGACGGGTGTCTGCCAAGGAAGGCAGGAGCCTCCCTTGGAATGGAGAATATGACACCCCCCCACCTACTCGAATTATTATAATTTTGGAATTAAGGGTCTTTCAGGAAAAGATGGGAAAAGGCATAACAGTTCTTTACTAGTATGTATGTGTATTACAAGGCAAACAAACAACAGCAGCGTCAGCAACAAGGAACAAAAAGGAAAATCCAGCCGGCATCCCCCGAGCCTGTCCCTCCTGACCCTTGAAGCCATTTCCCCTCGGTGCAGTTCCGGGCGCGGCCGCCAGGGGCGCTGCTGGCGGGCGGGGCTTCCCCCGCGGCTGCAGGGGGCGCTGTGGCGCGGGCTCGGGGAGCACGCGGTGGTGGCCGCTTTGTCCCAGGCGGGAAGGGATGACAGAGAGGCTTTGCGTCACAAAGCCCTGGGGCGATCCATCCTGGTGCCCCAGCAGGACCCTCAGGAGTACAGTCCCGCCGGAGTGGGAGATGAGATATATCGGAAACTCCGCAGCTGCAGCTGGAACCGCGGGGATGTCTCGGCAGGCAGGGGCTGTGGGGCTACAGTGCAGCCGAAAACGCGGATTAGTGGCAGAGGAAACGGGCGGATGGTGGCAGCTCGCCTCCGCAACGGGGCAGAGAGAGAGAGAGAGAGACTCCCTTGGGGACGGGATGGGGCTCGAGGATCCCCAGGGGTTTCCCCTGAGGCACCTGAGCAGATGGCGAAGGGTCCCTTGGTTGGTGAGGTAGGGTGTTAATAAGGGCCCAGTGCAGCGGCCGCTCTCAGGAGCAGGGCTCCACTCACGGTATAAGAAAGGCAGCAGGAGACAGAACCCCTCAGTGATGGTGATGAATTCTCCCCACAGCGACTGCAGCCACTCTCCCCTCCCAGTGGCAAGAACTCAAGAGAGCCAGCAGCTGCCCCAGCTCCCTTCTTCCCAGCCCCATTCTCGAGTATCTCTGCCCCTCCGAGAGAAACCCTCAGATAAGAGAAGTGCGACCAGGTGCCCTCCATCCCTGAATTTAGCAACTTCTTTTGTCTCTCTTAAGTACCCAGTCGTTGTTGTCTCCTAGCAACATATGGGAGAAAATTCCCTAAGAGAAGGAAACAAAAGGAAGAATCCTAAATCCCAACATATGGGAAAGAAAATTATATGGAAAATGGAATAACATTTGGTTTGTCAATATCTAAGTTTGTTTTGATAGAGAAAATATATCGACATTACAAATGGTGACAAACATTTTTTTTTTTTAATTGTAGTAGAATAAGGTAATAATCAGTCGATGATCTATTAAAAAGAAATTAGCCTGCCACAGTATTTTAAACTAGTAAATACAGTTTGATTTACTATGTAATTCAAGTTAGATATAAAAAAACCCAGTAATTTTCACGGCAAGTCAGAGAAGCATGCATATGCAAGTTGTGAAAAAACTCTTCTTTGGAGCTATAGTATGGTTTTGTTACAAGCTGTTATTTCTTTAGATATATATTTTTTTTTTGCTTGAATTTGAGCTGAGAGTCATTGTTGATTGCTTTGTTTATTTATTTGTGCAAGTAGCTGCATAGTAAATGTAGATTTGCAAGCTGTAAGCTTGTGTGAGTACCTTAAAGATTCTGAAAAAAGGCAATAGGCCAAAGTATGAATTATACATGTTTTACTCTGGGCTACAAAGGTTGGTTTGCTACTCATGCCACAGAAAATTATTTGTATGGAAATCTCTTATTAATTGCAAATATAAGCATCCATATGTTATCAGCTGTGATACTGTACAAACTGGTGTAAAATGGCTTTCCTTGAATGTTGTTTGGTTTATTTTTAGTGCACAGTTTGCAGGACTTCTTTGTGAAGAGGAAGGCAATGGTGCAGATAACGTCCAGTACTGTGGCTACTGTAAATACCATTTTAATAAACTGGTATGTATTTATTAAATTCCATAAATAAATGTTAATGACTTATTTTTTTATTCTGACTTTTTTGTTGCCATTAGCACTAGAAATAATATTTTCATGAAAAAGTAATTGTATTTCATTAAAACAATGTTTTAATCACAGAGAAGTACTAGCTGGAAGTATTTTTTTTAAGTGGTTGCTTTATAGATGAGTAGGTTTTTCCCCTCTGCCAGAAATAGCATGCACATTTAGTGTTTCTTTTTCATTGAGTTCCTGGAATGTTTTCTTTTGCTATTTGTTTTAAGTGCCTTCTAGGAATTCAGTCATAGTTTATTCCAGTTTTTGAATAAACTAGAAAATACTACTTCTACAGAATAAAGAAGCACTCCATTTCTTTCTGCTATGTTACTCTTCTGCCCAACTTCTTTTGTTCTATCTCTCATGGTGTAGCCAGTGGGTATTCCCTGCTTGTAAGTTCTCTGAAACACAACCTTAAGGAAGTGACTTCAGGTTTGATTTTTAAGAAACAAACAAAAAATGAAAAACATTGAAATTTCTCAGTTAATGCAGTAGGCTTTGGATCAGACCTCTGGAGTCTTTCCTTTCACTTCTTACCAGTTTGACAGTTCCAGATACCTGTTTCTGTGTACTTGTGCGAGTGTGTGGACTTGAGGGGCTTACTGATGTTTAAAAAATGTTACTTATTAGTACTAAGATATACAGACTTAGGTTCAGATGCTGTTGTAGGTATAGTTTGACTTCCAGATTACTTCTTTGCACTGCTAAAAAAGTTGAATACTTGGTGTGACTTTTGGGTTGCAGTGAGGTAACAACATAAGACCAGTTAACCATTTTAGTTTCTAGAAGATAAGCTTAGTGAGGTTAGTTTTGTGCTTTTGTTAATACTGATGAATTTGCTTCATAATGAAGATAAGGCTTCCTAGGCCCTTACTAAGCTAAGAATTTTTTTTTTTTTTTACTATCTTGAACTAAGTATATACAAAAAGAGTGAAAATAGTCTCTTATTTTGTGGTGAGGGCAAACCCTTACATTGTTACACCTTTGATTGATATTGCAGTGCTGCCATGATTGAGAGCAGGTATATTTATTTAAAAAACAAGTTTTATAATAAACATAACTATGTTTGATGTATAATCAGTTAGCTTTCCATTACAAAGCTATAGTGGTAAAGACTGGCAAGATTGTTTTAGGAGTTTCAGTTTTTCTTCAGGATTATTGTGACTGTTAATGTCTAGTAAATACAGGTGCTTAGAATTAACTGCTGAAGCTGCTGGGTGTTCCACATCTACTATTCTGCTGAAAACTGGTTGACAAAAGAGTGGCCTGAAGTGTCCTTAAATGCTTCCTCAGTTATGAGAAAACCAGCATTTAGAACACTGGTCCAGCATAAAGTATTTGCAGTCCTGAACTAGGCTCTCAGACATAACAGAAATACAGGCAATTACATCTGCCAGTTACAATCACAGACATGACTGTTGCATTCTGTATCCTGTTTTTTAATCCATTTTAATGAAAATATACCAGACAGATCGCTTGAATAATAAATAAGTCATGAAGTCACCTTACAATGCATTTCAAGCATGTGTCAGGGCATCACTGTGGTGATACTCTTTTGAGCAGCATTTTTTTTGTTTTATGCTATGAAAACTTGAAAATGTGTCTAGCATCTTTTAACCTTTAAAAAGTGGCGTATTTCATTTCTTTGTGGAAAGCATAGCTTGCAAATTTGTGGGAGGTGTAGAAGTTGATGCAGGGATAGGCTTTTTTCCTGGTGTGCATTCAGTAGTCTTGTGAATTTTAGTGTCAGTAATTAGTCAGCTTTCCAGTAATTGAAGCATTGAAGTTTTTTCCTCAAGCAATAAGGCATCTTGTCAGTGGAAATGCTTTATACTTTTTATTTATTCAAATGGTTCCTTTTCTCTGTCCATAAATATATTTTCTCTTTTTAGAAAAAGAGCAAACGGGGATCTAATAGGTCATATGATCAAACTTTAAGTGATTCTTCCTCTCACTCTCAGGATAAACATCATGAGAAGGAGAAAAAAGTAAGTGGATTTGTCGTTGCTAATTATGTGGCACATCTGCTTAAAAGTAGCACTTTCTGGTAAATTTAATTTTTGCTGAAAAGCATGAAGATCTTGTTCTGAAGCACTGAATAATAAATAACACATGATAAACCATTGGTACTGGCATCCAGTGAGGAAACCTCTTCAGGTGCATTTGTATATGCACTTTTATATTTCTGTTTGTATTCAATTTTGAGATACTGAAACATATCTGTTGGGAAGGATGTTCCAAGCAACTTCCTTTGCCTTAATTTTCTGTTAGAAATTTCTGTTAGAGTTTTTCTTGTGTACCCTTTGTGATGACACGGGGAAGAAAAGAAAAACAGCAGGAGACATTTTAGGAACTGTGTGGCTAAACACGTGCATCTAATTCTTTATGTTTCAACCTGTTACTTCTTTCTCTTATCAAAGAACTGACATCTTTTCTTGCCACATTTTATTAATACTGGTGGTCAAGCCCACTGTGCTGGCAAAATACCTTGGGAACTCCTCTGGGAAATTTTGCTGTGAGGGTACAAAGACTGGAACTGCTTATTTCTGATGTTGGTATATTCTTTTAATGATTTGACTTCACATATTATTAAAAAATAATTTCAGCTCTATGATGATTACTATTTTAGGTTTTTACTACTGCTTCATTAACAGTTGTCTGTAGGAAATTTGTCATCTAAATTCAACAGAGGGTGATAACAGACACAATGCAAATATTCTTTGTCACTTTTTTTAGGCCTCTACATGCAAAACTGCTCACTAGTACACATCCTTTACAAATAGCTTAATAGGATTTTGTGAGGATGTGGATAAACTTAGTTTTACATTATTAAATATAATTACATAAAAATTGGCATAAAAGAATCTTTTGACCAAATGTGTATTATACAAAGGAGCTGTATCTGTAGAAACAGGAAATTGAATAGCAAATGTCAGTCTTTAGACGCTTTTCGCTTTTCTCAATATTTGACTTGGATTTTTGAGATTACTTCCATTTTGGATGGATATTGACTGCCAGTTGTTCTCGGATAATATTCTAAAAGGTCTGATCTTTAGACTTGTTTAGTGGTATAGGTGAATCATGCTGTCTTTATCCACTAGTGCAGAAAAGAGTGTGCACTGTGATGTTGCTGTACCTCTAATCTAAATTTAGGGCTGAAATAATAAAAGTATGGAATTTTGGCAGACATTTTTAGTAACATGTTGGCAGAAGAATCCAGTTTTGAATTACAGACTACAGAATTAGCTTACTAATATTTGCTGTATTTTTTCCTTAGTTTTCTACTACTGTTGTATTTCAGTTCATGTTTTATCAAAGTACATGCATGGATTTTTACAATCATTGGCAAAACTTGTAAGTTGGTGGGTTTGTGTTTTTTTGTTTTATTTTGGGTTTTATTTTTTGTTTTTCTTAAATGAATTTGACTGAAGATGCTTCCCAGGTCATACCTGTGAATTCTACAGGGTACACTTGGAGGGACTTTAACACTTCAGTGGTGTCAGCTATTTTGTCAGCTCATGCTGTATATTTGATACACTGTATTAATTATCTTGGAGGACTAGGGCAGTTTTTTTAGGGTGACTTCCCATATTTCCTTTTTTGTAAATCCCTTAAGAATCTAGATTTTTGTCATATTGCAGTAAATACTTACAGCTTTCTTCACAGATACAGTAGTATTTGTGTTTGTGTGGCAACCACATCCCTCTCACAGCCACTGTAGTTTCTGATTTATCTTTCATCTTTGTTCCTTGGAAATTTGGATAATCTGATCTGCAGGCATCATTAAAGCTTTCTGTTTTGCCAAGCAGTAGCTGTATGAGCTGTGGTTTGGAACCACTTTTCTTGGTAAGACCTCAGAAGCTATCCTTTTGTGCATGTGAAATACTACACTGCAGTAAGAAGAGGCTGGTCTGAAAATGTTAACATAGGTAACTGTTGTTTTTACAAACAGACTCAGCTGAAAGCCTGTGTTTCCCTTCCATAGTGTGTGTTTAACATCTTCTGGGCACTCTGCCAACAAAATTGGTAACAAATATGTAAGGGTATAATAATAAAAAAAAACCAAACCAACAAACCTGAACAGATTTAGCCAAACCTTTGGTATGATTTAATTTTCATGATGATGTTGAAGCTACAGAATAAATAGCTTCATTATATTCTGATTACTGCTGCCTAAGCATTGTTGTTTCTGCGGCAGAGATGCTATTCAGAAATTATTAGTGATGATGCTGTGTCCCTTATAAAGAGTACTGGTAGTATGCTGCTTGACATTCCATTACAATATTCCTTTTCTTCAGGGCCCAGGTGTTTACTCAGGCTTTCTTTGGAAAATTTAGGCCACCATGAGGCAGTGGAAGAATGCTTTGCTTTAATGTTACTGGCAATGTTATATTTGGAAGGACTGAAGAAGGAACTAAACATATCTGGAATTGACCTTTGTATAATAGAAGTCTTTTTTTTTGGCACTAACTTGAAAATTAGACAAGGTTACTAGCTTTATTTGTTTATGACTTCTGAAAAATGTGAATATATTATGTAATAAGTAACTACTATATAGCAGCTGAATTACATAGGTACCTTTTCTACTAGAAGTGCTTTGGTCTGAGCTGAGCAGGAAGGAAAATTTAAAACTCTGCTGTAGTGGCTCATATAATGTAAGTTAAAGAAAAATGGGCTCATGACTAAAGACTGTGGATGTCTGTAAGAAGTTGTGTTTGAATACTCAAAAGAATATTCGGTGACAAGAGGCTTCTTTTCACTATCACACAAGTTGGAGAGCGTCAGAGGAGAACCTAAAATGCAAGAGCCAGGATAAGTATCCTAAACACTGAGGTACTAGTGCATTGTGGGCATTTTTTTGCTGCTTGTCTTGTTCTTAAAGAAATGTTACAGCTTTGATTTTGTGGGTAGAAACTTGAACACCTAAGAACAGGTTGTGGCAGTGCGTCACACTCCGCATGTTCCACTGTAACTGGGAATTTGTTTCTTAGGGCCATGGGAAGGGAAGATTTAAACCATGTCTCTGTGCATTGAAAGTTTCCATAGGCTGTTTGTTGGTTTGGAGCTGCCCAGACTTTGCCAATTTGTTGTGAAGGAGCCTGTGCTCATGTGTCAGGGCAACGAATTTCATTTGGGAGAGAGGTGCTTGATGCTTTTTAATGAATTTATGTGCTGTGTAAACTGTTACAAGGCAAGTTGTAAACACTCAGATCAAGTGTTCCTGGGGCATTTCCTTACTGTCTGAGCAAATGACTGAAAAGGTAAAATGGATCTGCTATGCATCACGTAAGATTCTGTGGTAAAAACAGGATCAGATTGCAGGTTTTTGAGTTATTTGCATAAGCAGTGATTTTTTTTTTTTCTGAAACAACAACAACAAAAAAATCAGTTTTAGTCCCAAGGAGTCCTTTTATAGTGCTGTATAGAGTGTTTTAAAGATTATTCTAATTGTGTCATTCCTCTGTGAATTGCCTCATTTCATAAACTAAGTGATGCTACTGAACACTGGGGGTTTTTTTGCAACTTTTAGGGAAAAAATCTCCAAATTAATCTCAGTAATGCAGTATTCCATTACATTTTTATTAAATTTTTAAGTTTTGTTAATCAGTTTAATATATTTGACTGTTTAATCCTTTCAACTGTTCTTTATGTCTGAAGCAAAATTTTAAGAATGCTAAAGATAACTAGGAGAAAAGTGGTTTACAACCACTTTGAAATCACTTAAATATTAATACCCATGTTAACTTACTCCAAATTCTATTTGATCAGAGGGAAGGAATCATGGCTCCAAAACACCTCTAAAAGCTGGTCAATAAATATAAACCTCAGTGTATAGATACACTAATAGCTATTTAAGATGAAGAATGCAGTTGCTGTTTCCTAAAATGGAATTTTTGATGGGTTCCATGAATTCAAAAGGGGGATGTCTTCATCCTTCAGTCTTTACTGTTGTTGCCATTGTATGGCGTTTCTCTTTCTGGGCACCTGTTCTGTACTGACTGTTGTAGGAGTGTAGATTTTTCTTTTTTAATTCATCTCTTCATGTCAGATTCTGTTGGAAATATAACTATTTGGAAATACTGACAGCATGTGACTGTGTAAACCAAGTTTCTTTAGAAAGCTACTGTATCTGAGTATATTTAGCAATAGATATTTTTGTCTGAAGGATTAAGAGGAAAGGTGACAACCTTGTTTTACTTCTCATTTGCTAAAATTCTCTGTTAACTTGTGCTGTTCTCTGTGTATACAACTGTCAACCTGATAATCAGCTGCACGAAATTTACTGGAGCTGGCACCAGCATAATGATCTCTTGTGGTGGCCAAGAAAAAATACATAAGAATATAATCTCATTTTAATTTATATTTTCTTTCATTTTAGTAAGAGAAAACATAGGAACTTTTTGTCTCAATTCTCAAGATTATCATGGAATTACTGATTTGACTACCTCATATTTTTTTAACTTACAGTAACACATCATAAACCTTACTGAAAAAAGTGTAATGCTTTTAGCATACATTAGCACAGCAAACACCTCAATAGTATTAAGCTTGTCAGCTGGGACTAACTAATTATTATAAAATCAAAATGAAAAACATATCACCTCAGATACACCTAAAATTTACTCTGCAAGATGTAGAATTTTGTAAGGCTTCCTAGGTTGCAACTGTCTTTTTCCATCTCAAAGTACACATTTTAGTCTTTGACTGAAAGAAAATAAAACCCCCAGAGAGCAGCTCACCCCCACACACCTACTTGCACATTCCCCTCTGTTATGGGATGGGGGAGAGAATCAGAAGAGTAAAAGTGAAAAAAAACTTGTGGGTTGACATAAAGACAGTTTAATAGGTAAAGCAGAAATTGTGCATGCAAGCAAAGCAAAACAAGGAATTCATTCACCCCTTCCCACGGGCAGGCAAGTGTTCAGGGATCCCCAGGAATGAAGAGCAGCATCACATGTAACTATTACTTGGGAAGACATACACTATT